CCCCCCCCCCCCCCCCCCCCAAAAAAAAAAAAAGATCTCTTGTTATTTGTGTTCTTAGAATTGCTGGCAGTCTTTTTTTTGTGCCCAGCCAATGCACATCATTAAACTCCATCAGAATTGTGCCTTGGTCCCCTCAAGACTTGATATTTTTAGTTTGTTCTGTGTTTCTTACAAGGTTCTATAACCAAAGCTAGAGAAGAATGGAAGAGCTCTTATCCTAAATGAATATTCTACCATGATAATATCCTAGGCAACTCCAGGAGTTAAGGGTTTAGATCAAGCACAGAAGTAATCTGTATATTCTTGTTCCTTTTGCTGTGCTTTCGAAGTTAGTATCAAATAAAGCACTTAGGCAGAAGCTTCATGAATATGAATTTGAGAAAGTATTGATGGGAAATTCACTGGTAAAGTTCTTTGCTTTTAAATATTTCTTAGATTTATTTCTTTCTGGAAGAACACAGTTATTTAAATCATTAAAAATGCTGCCCTTTTTTTCTGAGGAGCATTTAGCATGAAGACAGCTACTTTTTCTTTACCCCTCCCTACATTTTATTCTCCCTTTCAACTGAATGTTTTGGGGATGTGATTTCTTTCTTATTTTAGGGGCCAGTGTGTTATGCACTTCTCTGGGAGTACAAACAGGTATTTTACATTAGCAGCCTTTCAAGGAGTGCTCAGCTGAAGGTCTGTGTGTTCACACTGTGTGCTCTCTCATTTCCTCTCCTCAGGCCAGTAACTTCAACTGGTACAGTGCAGAGTGGACAGCCACTGACTGGACCATGATCCAGAGGAAATGCAAAAGTTGATTTCTTCCTGCCAGAGTCCAGCTTTGTTTGAACTCCATGAGGCTCTGAGCATAGATATACTTGTTGAGTGATTTAGTATCATCCATAGCCTAAGAACCTTTTCGTTGGAGTGTCATGTATTTAAATACATACAAGAGGTCATAGAGTATTATTTACAGCTTTTATACCAACTTTTCATGTGTTTATTTTAATTTTTTTTCTTCTGCCTGTGTTTTAGGCCCACTCAAATTATTTAGCTTATTATTCTTTATAATAGTTGCTCTTAAATTCTAATTACAATGCATCTATGTGCTTTTTCCAAGCATTACAATATATTTTGGTCTTCTGATCACTCCAGATAGGATGAAAAATTAAAATACAATAGAAGTAATTTATTAAATAATATATGTTTAAACTGGTTTTGTTTTGGTAAACCTTAGATCTCTTTTTCCCCCACAGTGAAAGTCTATGTTCTCCACATCACCACAGGAGCTACCCCTGGGTCAGGCACAGATTCAGATGTGTATGTCATACTGCAAGGCTCCTTGGGAGATACTGGGAGAAGAAAGTTAACTAGGAAAGGAGATGAAAATTTTACTAAAGGAAAGGTAAACTTAAAAGTTCTGCAAGATATTTTTCACTTTTAGAACCCAGTCCAATTAATGTGGATTTAGGAGGAATAGAGAAGTCTACAAAGTCCAGTTTACAGCTCTCTGTGATTGTGTGTCAACCAATATCTCTACCTTAAATGGGAAATACCAATACTTATGCAGCTGATGCTAACAATACTGACAACTAATAAAGTGACTATATCAAGGGCATTTATATTCAAATTTTAATACTTCTGTTCTGCCATGCCATTCTTCAGGCTATGGTATCTTTCCCTGATTTTTACTTCCTACCCCTCAGTCTGGCTCTTGGTCTCTCTCCAGACTGTCAGACACTAGCATCTATAGTTTTCTGAGGTGTACCAAGAGGGTCTGTGCAGGAGTCTTGTAGCTCACAGACATAAACCAGTCAAAGTCCAGTATTACTGCCAGAGATGTATTTCCTTGATACATTGTCAGTATAAGCAGAAATTGGAGGGAAATTGGAGTACTAAATGTGCTGTAGAAAGATGGGTAGATTTACAGCAAAATGCATGTCTTTGACATAAAACCTTGTGTCTGCTGGAAATTCTGGACAGTGGGAGTGAAATTTTCAGCTGAAAAGATCACAAGATATTTTAAACATGGAATAAACATGTTTCTTGTATTTACTCTGGCTGCTTTTTGAAAACAAATTAGAGGATTGAAACAATTTTATAAAGATCCAGAAAAAAAAAAATCTGAAAATTCATGTTGGACTAATTAAACTTTAGAAAAAAAAATCCACCAGTGCCTTGCAACCAGTAAGTTATTTTCTTCTGTTGGTGTTGGCTGCCAAAAATATGAGAGTTTCTCTAAGGATGCAAACTTCCAAATCAACCTAGACTGCTAGCCAAAGCAGAGACATGGTATGTGATCAGGAGGAGCTCATCTCCTAACTACCCCCAGCCTCGTCAATTCAGTGGGAATTGAAAGTAGGTACTGTATTGCTGGATTTCACCTGCTTGAAATACTTATTCATTAGAAAAGTTGGAGAGTTTAGAGCTTTATTTTTAAGGAATTAAATACTGTGGGTAAGGCTACTTAGTGTTGATAAAGTCACATTTGTCTTCCCTAATGCTGAAGTTCAGATTAAGGTTTACTGATAATCTGATTTAACTGAATTTTAAATCTGCAGTCCTTTTGTCCTCATGAAGTAAGCTACTTTAATATAAATTTTACTGGATTTCTCCTTAAATCATAGTCCCACAAGTGAGCAATCTGACTTCTAGACTGGTAGTTTTTAATGAAGAGGAACTAGGGATGCACATCTAGAAATGTTGACTAAGAAAGCAGAAGTGAGCCACAAAGATTTATAACCTGAAGGGTACTTTTACAGTATTTGCATTTACTTCAGTTTAGCTCAGAATTTTTCTCTCTTACAGAATAAGATGCAGATCTGGCATGTAGCCATCTCTTCATTATTTATTTGACATTTTATAGGAGCAGTGTGTGAATATAACACAGTATTCTTATATTTCTAAATATAGATATCAGCTCAGGAGTATTTTCGGCTCTAAAAAGAAATTGCTTGTAGATAAGTAATAGAGCAACACATAAAAGTCTTGATTCACTCTTTGTTCAGTGAAAGTAAAGGTATTTGGTTAATTGGAAAGTATAAAATTATTCTGCAAGAAAGGCTCATGCCTATGCAGCAGTATTTTGTTTTGTTTTATTTTGGAAATTTCCCAATGTTTTCTTCCCTTTAAAAGTAATCTCCAAAAAGACTCTCAAGTGTAGAATGTCTCTTTCTATACCAGCCCAATCACATATTGTGCCAAGCACCCCTGCAGTCAGAGAGTCTGCACTTGGTGGTTTAGGGGATTTGGAGTATAACAGGCAGAATTTGCATTCGGAATCTTAACAGTTATTCTGACATTTTCAAATGTGCTTTTCCTTGCAATAATTTTTCCCCTGACTATACAGTAACAGCTAGTGAACTGGAACAGTGTTTCTGTTGGAAATCACATCAAAATATGGTGTTAGTCTCACAGAATGTCAGGGCTGTTACAAGCAACAGTTTAGCTATGCAGAAATACACAGAAATGTTTAAATATTCAGGAAAGTTTGCAGTGGTTTGGAGATATTATTCTCTCATTTAACAGGTTTTTTATTTTCACTGGCTAAGTCACATGATAGTAAAAGAGTGAATTAGCATCTTATATCTGAAAGGTTGCTTTGTGTCTTTTCAAAGTCCTTACACCTGTGAGACCATGTGAGAACTTGTAGGTAAAGTAGTGTGCATGATATTATAAATTCACCAGTAAAGCCCTGTAGCTCACCCCCGAGAGGGCAGTGCTGCCACTGTTGAGAGCTGAGCTTCTGCTGATCTACTCATACAAATGAGTGTGAGGACTTGTCCTGCAAGAACCATAGCCTTTCAAATTGCTATGACACTGATGCCTTGTTTGGTGTTCTCCTAAAAGCTGTGAGGACAGATGCAATCTCAGCACACTTCTTCATGCAGTTCAGCTTTCATGAAATCCTGATAGTATTTATTCATGATTTGTGAGTCAGTTTAAGCCTGATAGATGTTACCTGCTTATGAGCATTTTCTTGAACCAAGTATACCCCGTGCAGATGTTCTGTGAAAACCAGGACCCAGTTGTGTAAAATCCTTACGGTATCTCCATGCTGCTTCTGTCACGCAACATTTTTCAGCAAATGCAATTCTTGATGCTTCTTTATATGGCCTTTGACAGACTTGCTGTATGCTCTGTCTGTCATATGGCTGTGAGCTATCCAAAAATTTCCTCTTTGAGAATGTGGGTTTTTTGTCAGATCAGTTCCATTAAAACCAGTAAATTACACTGAATATGTTATGGCTGATACTTAAGTATTTTAATCTAGGTTTTATGAAATTGGCCAGTATTTTAAGTACTCCACATTACGGAAGCACTAAATTCTCTGAAAATTTTTGCTTCGTTCTATTAGTATTTGAAAATATATAGTCTTTATCCTGCCCTATATTTAGACATCAACTGCTCAGGTTGGTGCCATGGTAACTGCAGCACATACAAAAATTTTCACTGAGAGGTGACTGTTGGTGTTCAGTTTCAGTACTCACATATTGAGCACTGACAATTTAAAAAAAAACTTCAGGAAAAGGTCTATGTGTGCCAGGATACACCTAGAAGAATCAGAATGTGGGGCAGTGTCCTGAGGTTACAAGTAGTAAGCCAGTAATGTCCACATCCCATCACATTGACAGTGCTGCTATTTTGTGACTGCAGAAAAACCTTCTCTTATGGAAAGCATGCCTGACATAATGATTAAAGAGTTGCCAAATGTCATTGATCCAAATGTATTAATCACAGTGGTAGGCTGTTGGCCAAGTTACTGTTATACAGAAATGAGCACTAAATCAATCTGGTCATCATAGAATCATAGAATTGTTTAGGTTGGAGGAGACCTTTAAGAGACTGAGTCCAACCATTGACCCAGCACTGCTAAGTCCACTATTGAACCGGGTCCCTGACTATATGCTTCCCTGGGCAGCCTGTTCCAATGCTTGACAATAATTTCAATAAAGAAATTTTTCCAAATATTCAATCTAAACCTCCCCAGGTGCAATTCAAAGTACTTTCCTCTTATCCTGTGTCTTGTTACCTGGGAGAAGAGACCAACCCCAACCTGGTTGCAACCAACCTCCCCTCCCCAGACTCCCTCCTTTCAGGCAGTCGTAGAAACAATCAGGTCTCCTCTAAGCTTCCTTTTCTCCAGGCTAAATACCCCCAGTTCTGTCAGTTGCTCCTCATAGGATTTCTGCTCCAGACCCTTTACCAACTTCATTGTCCTTCTCTGGACTTGCTCCAGCACCTCAGTGTCTTTCTTGTAGAGAAGGGCCCAAAACTGAACACTGGATTCAAGGTGGCCTCAGCAGTGCCGAGTACAGGGTGATAATCACTGCCCTGCTCCTGCTGGCCACACTATTGCTGATACAGACCAGGATGCCTTTGGCTGCCTTGGCCACCTGGGCACACACTGGCTCATGTTCAGCAGCTGTCAACCAGAGCCTCCAGGCATCTTTTCCACCAGGCAGATTTCCAGCCACTCTTGCCCATTCCTGTAGCATTGCATGGGGTTTTTGAGACCCAGGTGCAAGACCTGGTACTTGGCCTTGCTGTACCTCATGCAGTTGGCCTTGGCCTCTTGATCCAGCCTGTCCAGGTCCCTTTGCAGAGCCTTTCTGTCCTCCAGCAGATCAACACTCTCACCTGACTTGGTGGTGTTCCTCAGACTGACTGACGGTGCTCTCGATCCCCTCATCCAAATCATCAATAAAGATATTAAACAGGACTGGCCACAGTGCTAAGCCCCGGGGAATGCCAGTAGTGACCAGCCACCAGCTGGATTTAACTCCCTTCACCACCACTCCCTGGGCCTGGCCATACAGACAGATTTTACCCAGAGAAGAGTGCACCCATCCAAGCCACAAGCAACCTTTTACTCCAGGACAATGCTGTGGGAAATTGTATCAAAGATTTTCTTAAAGTCCTGCTAAACAACTTTCACAGCCTTTCCTTCATTCACTAAGCAGGTCACTCTGTCATAGAAGATCAGGCTGATCAAGCAGGACCTGCCTTTCAAAAAGCCATGATGGCTGAGCCTGGTCCCCTGATTGTCTTGTGTGTGTTGTGTGATGGTACTCGAGGTGATCTGTGCCATGACCTTCCTGGCACCTAGGTCAGGCCTGTAGTTCTCTGGATCCTCTTTCTGACCCTTTTTGTAGAGGGATGTTACATTTGCTAATTTTCAGTCAACTGGAACCTGTCCAGTTAGCTGGGACTGCCTGTAAATGATGGAAAGAGGCTTGGTGAGCACTTCTGCCAGCTCCCTAGGTACCCTGAGGTGAATCCCATCCAGCCCCATATGTGTGTTTGTGTGCTGTAGCAGGTTGCTGGTCCTTTCCCCTTGGATTGCAGGGGCTTCGTTCTGCTCCTTGTCTCTGTTTTGCATCTCGGGGGGCTGGATGAATACAA